TCTTAGTTTTCTTACTTATAATGTAGTCAATAAGGGCCTCCGGATAGCCATTACTAAGGAAAATCTCCCTAATGTTCCCAAATTCACGGTCCAATCTAATAGGGGAACACACTTTAAGCGCTCTATACACCAAGGTTTTAACGAGATTAATTTTCCTTGATGCAGGAGCAAATGAACGCTAATTCAAATAAAGTCCAGTAAAGGTGGGTTTACGATAAATGCTAGTAATAAAACCACCTCTACTGCGTTCAACAAAAACATCCAAAAAAAGGCAGACAGTTGTCTTTCTCCCCTTCCATAGTGAAAGACAAACCATTGTGTAAGGAGTTGAGCTCATTAAAGAACTCAACAGCCTCACTTTTATTAGAGAATGTTGCAAAGGTGTCATCGACATATCTAACGTAAACAAAATGGTTTAGACATTTTTGCCAAAAAGTAACATTTCATGGTAGCCCACAAAAAATATCAGCCAATGCAGGGCCAAGGGGACTGCCCATCTGGACCCCATCCACTTGACTATACATAATATTGTCAAAACTGAACTTTTGAACTAGTACATAGTATCATGAGTTCTATAAATATATCCTTAGGAAAAGGAGGTGGAGCAATGTTACCTTCGTATAAAAAGTCTGCACAGATATCAATAGTTTGTTTTCAATGGTACGTTAGTAAAATAGACTGGACACATCAAAGGAACACATAAAATCAGTCTCAGGGCAAGACTGTATGGCCTGTAGGCGTTCAACAAACGTGAACGAATCAGGTATACAATGCTTAGCAAAAAATGTTTGGACCGGTTGTATGACCTGCAGAAGCCATTGAGCCAGAGAATGTTGGGATGAACCAATCATTGAAAGTATTGGTCTCAATGGAACGTCCTTCTTATGAACTTTTGGAAGACCATAAAGCCTTGGTCTAAGGGAACCAGAAGGTCTAATCCTGTCATAAGTCTCTTTAGAAAAGTAACGTTTTTCTAAACAAGTATAATAGACGTTTCTGAATTTTAATTTCATTTCTGTACATGTTGTCACAAGTTTCAACTGGACCAATTTTTTTGAACTTTTTGAATCATTCAAAATAGTCAACATCTTTTTGGATGTAATCTACCCGGTCCAGTAGAACAACACCAGCACCCTTGTCCGGTTTACAAATATAAATATCATTATTAGATTTCAATGATTTAACAACCTTAAATTGAGTTTTTTGACCAGACAAAATCAAAAGAGTCAATAGAAGAATTACAATAACGATAAGCCAAAGTCTTTCAATGGTTTGACTTCAATGTAATAACGTGATCCGATGAACAAGGAACATGGTGTTTAAGTTGGGAGAACAACACCTCAAATGTTTGCCAGTGTCTCCTCTTTATCAATCTTAATCGGAGGAATACAAAATTGCAAGCCATTTGAAAAAGACTGCACTTTCACTCTTTGAAAGGTAAAAACTAGAGTAATTGAAAAAAAATTTTACCTTCAGTACCATAGTCACAACCATATCTGAGAATAAGCAATGGAACATTTTTTTCAAAATTTTAACAGCTATTGTTTGGCAAATGCCAACCATTAGCCAAATATTTTTATAAAAAAAACAAAAACCAGGGGCCTTCTAAATGTCCGTTTATTTGAAGATTCCCTGGATTGGGGATAGGGGTCAGGGCTTAATTAAGCAGGTTAGCAAGTTGGTTTCGGTTGTTTCCCATCATCAGTTGCTTTACGTAGCATTTTTCAAACTAGGTCTGCGTTTCCGTCTTTTTCGCAAGGATGTATTGCCCTACATCAAATTGAGTAATTTAGTATATGAATTTAATTGCCAGTGTGCTGCTGGTTATGTGGGGCTTTACAACCTTGCATTTGGAAACTAGAATTAATCAGCACGTTCCTTCCAAAATACGACTTGGTAAGATAGATAGAATATGCTATCTTCCCCCATGAATATGGAATCGGCTATTGCTCAACATTTAGTTGAGAATATAGCTTGTGCCAAGTTGTATAAAAAGAGTGGTTTAGAATTATTCATACAGCCGATTTCAATAATCATTTGAAGATTTTGGAATCGGTCTGTATAGGATTTAGAAAACCTTTCTCTGCCGGCAGAAAGAATTTATAAGGTCTCTAAATCTGTTGGGGATATTTTATTTTAACTGTCCCTCGCTATTTATTTACACGATAACCCTTCCCTCGTTACAAGTATATATACTTGTTTGTTATTTTAGTGTGTTTTCCCCTCTTTTTGCTCTTCAATTTTCGCTATTATTCATTTCGCTAATCCAACGATTGTCTCCTGATGAGATGTTGGCTGAAAAGGGCTCTAGAGACTTTTAATATTAAAATCAATGGTTTCCTAGTTTTAAAACTATATATATATATATATATATATATATATATATATATATATATATATATATATATATATATATATATATATATATAATATATATATATATATATATATATATATATATATATATATATAATACATATACATAATATATATATAATATATATATATACATAAAATACATATATATATATATATATATATATACATATATATATATATATATATATATATATGTGGAATTTTCTGAAATTTTCATTACATGTAGTCAAATGGCACAAATACCAGTTCAGTTGTTGCTTTAAATCTGTAAATTATTTGGAATGATACAGAAAGAGTGATGATTCATTTAATTTTTTACTCATATATAAAAATGTCTAAAATTAAGGAACAAAACAATATTTTTAATAAAACATTTAGACAACAAAATGCAAAAACTGTTATCAATATTTACAGCTAAGACCTTTGTTTTGAATCACTACTGCACATTGTTGTCCACAGGATTTCACTAGATTTTGATATCCATCAACTGTAGTTTTATCTCATTCCGCCTGTAATTTTTCCGGTAGATCTTCAACATTTGATGGATTCCTACTCATGACATTTTTTCTTTAAGTCTTCTATAATTTTTCTATGGGTGTCATGTCAGAACTTTGGCCAGTCGATAACGTTTATTCCTTGGTCATTCAGATAAGCAATAATCTGCTTTGCCTTATGGCAGTGAGCATTATCCTGCATGAATACAGAAAACCAGAATTTGTGATACCTGTACAACATGTTCTTTCAACAAATTCTTGTACATAGCAGCATTAACTCTATTATGTAAGCATACAAGAGGTGACATACCCAGAGTTGAAAACATGCCCAAAACCATCACACTACCTCCAGCAAACTTGACTATCTTATGGTAAACATTGAACTCAACCTTTCGCCAATTCGTCTTCTTACATACTGTTTTCTATCAGAACCAAATACATTTTCATCACTGAAAAATACTTCTGACCACAGCACGTGCTTGTTTACAAATTCCAGTCTTGCTGCCTTGTTCTTATGAGCAGCTTCTTCTGTGGACACCTATTTCTTGCAAGTGTCTAGACACAATTTGTCAAGACACATTAATGTCATTTGAAATTTCTTATGAAATGCCTGCCAGTCCAAAAATGGTCCTTCAGGTCTAGGCATTGTGGATAAAGAATTAAATGAATCAAAGCTCTCTCTCTCTATCATTCCAAATAATTTACAGATTTAAAGCACAATTGAACTGCCATTTGTCTACATTTAGTGATAATTTCAAAAAATTGGACTTATAGTTTCTGAAACATAGAAGTTTTAATTTTTCTTCTTTAATTTTGGATGCTACTGTATATATACTATATTTATATATTAAAGAATAAACCTCAAGGAATTTAAATAAAAAATTATATGCACACCAAAGATATCTTTTATAAAACAACACATTAAATGCATGAGTTGTTCACTGTAACAAAAAATGCTGCTCTAATTAAAAGTGAATACAGTTTACTAAGATGAAATTGTAATCACAAGATCATCCACAGTAAATTTGTGTCCATGTTCTTACAAAGTTTCACCATTCTTGGCAGATCTTCTATTATGACAATGTGGGATATTTAATAACAAAAGTGATAGAAACAAAAAAAAAAGACTCTAAATTAAATTGGCTAGATTATTCACCCAAAACACACATTAAAAATAGAAGAAAATAAGAACTTTTAAAATTTAAAATTCTCAGTGCTTCTATTTCATTTGTGCCCATTGACGTTTGTCACATAAACAAACTTCTTCTGATGAAGTCCTGAAGGATGAAACATGTAACACAAAAACTTTTTCCACTTTGTGATATATATATATATATATATATATATAAATCATAAGCCCCTACCCAGCCTTAACCAACTTGAAATTTGCCACACAAAGATACACTTGCTTTCTATATTCATAAAAATGCCAACACCACCTTATAAAAAAATGGGAATTCTCTTAACACTACCAACCTAACTTAAAAATAGAGTAAATATAATTTTTTCATAAGTTATTCTTAGCATCGCTTGAGAATGGAACTGAGCTCTGAATTTTAAGCTTAAATTTTAAGATTTAAGTTTTGGTTTCAAAACATAGTAATTTCTGTGTCATGATAAAGGCATATTTAAAAAAAAATAATTACTATATATATATATATATATATATATATATATATACACACACACACATGTTGAGAAAGTGGAAAAACTTAATAAATAATGAGCTGCTTCTTCAGGTCAGAATGAAAGACAAAACTGTGTAAGGAAAATGTGTTGGTATTTTTGAGGATAAATTAAATTACCTTATCAGATCTGACAACCAGGAAGTGTTTGTTTTATATATATATATATATATATAGATAGATAGATAGATAGATAGATATATTTATAAATTCAGTAAAAAAATATGTTTAGAAGCTTTACAAATATCTTCCTGGGATTCCATTAAAAAATAATTGATTTTATGTTTAGCATCTACATAAATTTCCTTTTTATCATAATATATATTTTAGTTTATTGAAATGAATCTAATAGTAAGATTATGTCATTTTCTTTGTAAATCAATGAAAAAATTCTCTATCAAATGCCTATATTATCATTAACTATAATTTTCCCCCTTCCCAGAACAACCAAACAATATTAGGTGTTATGGGTGTGGACATAACCACTGATGACATGCTGAAAAAGATACGAAGACATCAGGTATTTATTTTCTTTTACTTTTCATTGTTCAGTGATCTGTATCCATTTGATGAAAACATTTTTCTCTTTTCACTGAAAAAACAATAGCTCTAGAAGCATTTTTATTTGCATTATGCAAATCAGTTGTATAATTTTTTATATATGTTTGTCAGTCATGTACTAAATACTTAAAGTATTAATCATCCCAAGAGTTCCAAATGACACATCTAAGAAGTTAGCAAATTTCATGTTATTACAATTCTTCATTTGATCTCTTACTCTGTACTGAGCTTAAAGTTAATCCATTTCAAAATAGCATATAATATGATATACTTTGATCTGTGGTCAGAGGCAGTTTGGGGTCCGAAATTTTGTTCAGCTTATTAAGTAAAGATAAGACATATTTTTTATTTTCTGTATTAACTTTATTCGACAACATATTTATAATATTTTTTTTTCTTAGCAAAGAACTGCTGTATGTACTTTTTTGTAGCCATACAGGGAATTGAAAATCTTTTCTTTAAGACCAGAATAAAAGATAATCTGAAGGTGTAATTTTTAGTGAATACAGAAGATGTATGAAAATTTCCCATCTAGGCTGTAACATTTTTTGCCAGGTCACCAAAGAAACATGCAGCCTGATTGAATATTATATCTTTTTTATTATTCTGCATATTCTTCATTAATTGCCCATCTCAGTATTTTTGTTACATTTAAGCAACAAATCCAGAAGAGTTTTTCATTTAACTTTTGCAGAAGCCACATATCAAACAACCATCCTGGTACAAATGATTTTCAATGTTTGATTTTAATATTTTCAGTATGTTAGCACTCTCCTGCCTCATCTAAAATTGATTATTCTCACGTCATCTGGTCAATATCAAGATGTTAGTGGAACATGTTTTAATAAGAAATTTCTCGTACCAATCTTCTAAAACCATTTTTATGTAGTCAATCATTCACGCTACCTTCTCCATAAACTGCACAAATCTTTTTTTTTTTTGCATTTGGGTTACATTTTGATTTTTGGAAAATAAAAGTTAGAACAGACTGAAAATGTTTATTTTCTTCCATCTTCAATATTAGAATTAATAGACCAAAAATAAACTAATTATGAGTAAATATTTTTAAAATACACACAGATATGACACTTGTCAAAATACAATCAAAAAGCAATTTTTTTTTTAAATGAAGATTTTTTTTTTACTATTATTTACTCAAGGGTCATTCAAGGTTACTAAATGAGTTTGTTGTAAAACGAGAGTAAACAATACATATTATGAGGATATGTATGACAATGTTTGAAGAGGATAAGATTGTAGTGATCAGGGAGGCATCTTTTCAGGAATGTTTCTAGAGAAGAAAGTGTCTGAGTGAAACTTCTTCCTTACAATGGAATATGAAAGGAATGAGGATGAGTTAACTCAGTGTACAAAGCCTGGTGGGTACAGAATGTAGTTTGTCTGAACATCTGCCATGAAAATAGCAATAGAGTAATGAGAGGCTAACAACATTTCATCTATGGAAAAGAGGTTGTAAGGTAGAAAATAATTCATCACCCACAAGGCTGCATAAACATTTTTGAACTCTCATGGCTGGAAAGTGAGGATTGGGCAGCTCCAGCCCAGATGTTTGGTCTGATTTGGTTCTTGGTAAGATAAAACATAGCAGAAGGAGTCAGGTCATTTCAGGATAGGTAAAAGGAATCTACCATTTTTCTAGCATGTTTAGCAATGGATCATATATGTGAGTTCCTCTTGAGGTTTGGAGTGAGCTTGTGTCCCATTATACATTGTAGACAAGGAGCCTCATTGAGAGTACAACCCTTCATCATGATTAGGGAAAACTTAGGGTCTTTTGGTGATAAGCCTGTGCCCTGCCCATTGAGCTGTATAAGCAATCTCAGAGGATAGATCAGCTGCCAGGCTCTAGCCATATCCATTTTTCGAGGTGCACCCATAAACTGTGGTATTGTCAGCATATATATTTACTAATGATCTGGGAATGTTTTGAGGTAGATCATTAATATAAATTAGAAAAAGAATAGGGCTGGGAAGAGAGCTTTGGGGGACACCAGTATTGATCTCACAGACTTCAGAGGACTGGCCATTAACAATGACCTTCATGGACCTACCCGATAAAAAGCACTTGATAACTGAGAAGACTTTTCCAGAAATGCCATAGTTGGAGAATTTATGTAGTAGCCCCTTATGCCACACCTTGTCAAAAGCCTTTGAAATAACTAAGGAAATGATGGATTTATTATCAAGTGCTTCACTGGGTCAATGTGAAATGACAATTAAGACAATTAATTTAAGTTGTGAACCTAGAGGAGCAAAATTCATACTGTTTGTCACTCATGAGGTTGTTTCTGTTGATGTGATTGATAATCTGTTAATGATAGCCTCAAAAATATTGTTGATGACACTGGAGAGGCTGGTGGAGTGATAATGCAATTAAGATGAGAGCTCACCTACATTCTTTTAAACTGGACATACAGCTGACACTTTTCTTCTTCAGGCAGCAATTAAAACGTTTTGCCAAGATTGGGCTCTTAAGAACAACTACAGGAATTCTATCCGAACTAGTAGCTTTTGTAAAGTCAAGGATTCTTATAAGTTTGGAAACTTCCTGAGTTGAGATGGAGAGATTGCTAAGTTTGTGCTCCATGAGAGTGTTAAGTCAGGTAGGAGATGACCTTTGTCATTTAATGTGGAGTTAGCGACAAAGTTCATTGAAAAGATCTTAACATCAGAGCCATTTATAATGGAAGGTACAGGCTGTTTACATCTGTTGAGAATCTTGTTTGTAATTTTTCAAGAACTTGTGGTGGATAAAACTTTCCATATGAAAAAGAATTCATTTGGAAATGAGAGAAGCTGTTTGGGAAGCACTATTTTTGAAGAATGCTGACAGAAAACTTTGGCAATGTAAGACCTGGAGCTATTTCATTTAGCTTTGGTAGATTATCCTATGAAATGGGTCATCAGAGGATGCCTTCAGTTTGGCATCAATTTTGAGATTGGTCTGAACTGCCTTAGGGAGATAATACTTCAGAAAAACATTGACCAGGACAGGAAATTAGGAAGAGGTGTAAGAGGTTAGCAAAATGTCCAACTATATTGGGAATTTGATTAAGCTTATCCACAATCTTGGTCATGTTCCTAATAACATTTAATGATAAAAACAGAACAAATGTTTTAGGCTATCCAATAATAATTGATATAAGTAAATTATTTATAGCAAAATAATTTTGTATATTTGATAATAATTTTTGTGTTTGTAAATATTAACATAAATTATAATAGACAAGTTTTAAAGATTGATTGATGACTGGATATCAGTACTAAATAATTTCTATTATATTTTTTAGTATAATAAAATACTTATTTGAAATGAATTTCATTCTAAAATGTTTAAACAGAATCATATACTTGATAAATATTGATATTTACCAAGATTACTAATAATGAGGATGACAAATTCTTGTTACTTATGCACTCATGATTTCAATAATTTTAAAGTTGAAAAATACTTATGAACTGTTTTTTCTAGCTTGGTCCAACTGGGTATGCCTTTGCCATCAATCGTAATGGTTATGTGGTTTTCCATCCTAACTTAAAGATTCCAGTAAGTAATGTATTTTAATTCATGCATTTCAATATCTGTATGTGTAAGCTTAAGAAAACCATTCAAGTATATGATGTAATGAAATGAGAGTGCTGTGATAGCAAAGACTTGAATCTTTAACATTTTATTCACTCAAATATTTTGTTGGTTATTTTTGGTAGTCTGTGGTGTACAGCCCTGCATCCTTGTCCAAAACATAAACCTTTCATTATCCTGTGGTACTGGCAATGTATGAAAGACTACCAAACTCCTCTCATGTGGTTGATTACATATCAATCTATACAACAGTTTTGCTCACATATGCACATATCAGGTGCCATCAAGCCCACCAGCATTCACTTCTGGAGTCACTACTGAGAACAAGTGAATTGCAGATCTCTATCCTTGGAAGAGGTCATCTCAGGTCAAATTTGTATCTGGCTTCCTGATAGACTGGTGTGAATAAAATAAGATATTTGAAAAATATTTTAAAATAAGTAAAAAGAAAAAAGCTTTTTTAGTAAATGGTAATTTTTAAAATATCGTTACAGTATTAGCACAATTTAAAAAAAAACGTAACAGTAACTGACTCATAATGTAACCCACAAAATAAAGTCCAGTGTATTAAACATAGTTAATACACTTATGCTATTCATAAAAGTAATTCACTTAAATGCTACTGATACCCACAAAAATTGCTTCCTGTGGTCATTTGGTGGTCTACCTATGCGCTGGAATCATTTTGTGCATTGCATAGAAATGTTCTCATCTGTTAAAAAATTTTATATAATTAGTGTTTGACAGAAGGTATTTGGGTGGAGAGTGAGGCAGAGATAGCCTATAAATACCATGACAAGGATCAGCAACTAGCAACTTCAAGACAGACAGCTTTTCCTTTTTACAACATTGTTGTCTCTGGAAGGTCTGATCTAAAACCAGCCTGCACATAACTGTTTTACAAACTACTCTTTTTCTGTCAAAACATTGAAGAAACACTCATTTTCTTTTATCAAATTTTGCCATAAATTTCACCACCTACACTACATTATTTTACTACATTATAGTGGTTTCAGTTTTCTGTAGGAAATGCAACAAAAAGCCTCTAAAGAAAGTGAGTTCCTTCTGTAACAGTATCAACTTTTTGATGTGTCAATATCAGACTTTTCTTTTGTTTTTATGTCAACTAAAAAACAAAAATATTAAAAAGTAAGAAAATTGAAAGTAAACTATTACAAAGTAAATTGAACCATTTAATGATAAAAACAGAACAAATGTTTTAGGTTATCCAATAATAATTGATAGTAAATTATTTATAGCAAAATAATTTTGTATATTTGATAATAATTTTTGTGTTTGTAAATATTAACATAAATTATAATAGACAAGTTTTAAAGATTGATTGATGACTGGATATCAAAAAAAATTTTAAAAACTTGGACAATTATTATATAAAGTTTGTTTTTCAAATGCCATTTCATAAGTTCACTTTTTAATTTGATTTCTTTTGCTTTTTTTTCTTTCTAGAAAGATTGGAATAAAGATCCTCCAAATGTGGACTTTCTAGAAGTTGAAGTAGAAAATGAAGATAAAGAATTGGTCTGTATCAATAAATACCAACTTATTTTTATCAATTCACATTATTTTTATCTTAATTTCTTTGATAAAATAACCAAACTGCAACTTTTAAAAAGCAAATTATTTTAAATATTATTTTGATGCAGCTGTTTCAGTTTAGTTTTAAAATAAAGACAATTTAAACTAGAAGATAGTTGCTATTTTATATTTTGTTTCTAAGTCAATAACTTGTTAATAAAATAGTTAAGATTATTAAAAACAAATTATAATTTGTCAATTTTGAAAGATTAAAAACTTTGATATAATATACCCTTAGATTCCAGAATAAATTTGACAAGCATATTCAAAATAATGCATTACCTGTAATTGGTGTAATGAATGATAACTTCCAGAAAAGGCAACAAACTTTTTTAAATGAAATAAAAATATCACATGCATGATGTCACCTATTATAAATATAAATGTAAGTAATAAAATGAATGAAAATAAAAGGAAAGGTGAAAATAGAAATTTTAGAGTTGAGTTATTTTAATACAGAATTCCAAGTCTTGATTGGTAAGGAAGCCAAGAGTTTGTTCTTTTGATATACTTTGTTTAAGGTGTTGGCAACATATCAAAAGATCTTAGTAGATCAATTTTCATAGTGTTGCAAAGTGCAAGTGAATGTTTGTGCCACTGGAAAAACAACTTAATGAGCCACGTAACAAAACTTTATCAGATGAATACAGCAGAATTCAAATGGAAATACTGTGATTTTATTAAAGGAATGTGGTATTTATGTTTTATAGACTATGTAAAAGCATTTGATAAGGAATTTCACCTATTAGAAAATTTTGATTTATTCAGGAAATATATTAGAATAATCCAGAATTTATACTGGGAGTAAACCTTGTACATACAGATAGAAAATAGGATGTTTTCTCACCAGATTTACCTACCAGTATATCCTACCAGGATCTATTATTGGCAGACACAATTTTAACAACATGCAGATGACACAGTGTTGATATCAAGCATAGAAAGCAAACTGCAGAAACTTCTACAGAAAGTAGTTAAGGAAAAGGAGAAGAAAGGGCTAAATATCACTTGTAAGAATAGAGAGTGTATGGTTGTCAGCAAAAGGAAGAGCCCAAGATATAAACTATAAATTGGAGATGCCAAAATGAAGCAAGTATGAGAATTTATATATCTGAGAAGTATTTTAACAGAGGACGGACAATGTGACACCAAAATTCAAAGGCACATTGAAATAGTGAAAAATACCTTCCAAAAGCTAAGCAAAGTATTAAAAAATAGAAGTGCTGAAAAGAGTGCTGAACTGTTATGTGATATTGTTGGTTATATATAACAGGAAAATTTCTGAAGTCTTATATAATATCAATCCTCCTATATGGCAGTGAATATTAGACAATCTTTTCACATGACTAGAACAGAGATGTAGAGTCTTAGAATACCATGGACTAAAGATGTGAGTAACAAGGAAATTGTAATTTCTAGGCTTCATAATGAGGAAAGAGGACTTGGAGAATTTGATACTCACAGGATATATTGAAGGCAAGAGGGTAGACAACAAATAACCTACCTAACAGGCTTGTTTAAAAGGAGTGGGAGGGATAGTAAAAAGATAAATCTTACTAAGAGCTAAAAGGGATAGGAAGATGTGGAGAAACATGATTGTACACATCCTGAAGGGACAGCACATAGAGAAGAAGAAGAAGGTGTAATTGGTTGCCTTCAGCTTTCATGAACAAAAACATTCTCTGTATGGACATTTAAGACAAACTACTCATTTTCATTTCCGATATATCAACAGAAATGGAAGTAGTAATTTTATTTTCAGATATCTTAGGTTTCCTTTGCAAAAGTAGAAGTATCTAAAATTATAATTTTCTTTTCTTAAATATCATGTCCCTTCAGGATGTAAACAACTATGACTTTTGGTGGCTCTCTTTTTTTACTGTAATATCTGTAAATTTTGTGAGGGCCTAGTCCACCCAACTAATTTACCCATAGTTGCATATAGAAAGGTTGGATTAATGTCTTTCCCAAGGAAATTAGTAAAAAGTTCATCAACTAGAATTCCATTTTCAGTGCCAATAACAAGTGCACATCCACAATTATAATAAATTAACTAAATAAAAGGAATATCCTAGATATTCTAATCAGTCAAATGCTATAATTGAGACTGTATTTACAGTTTCAACTCTTGAAATTTTCCTTCTATATCATTTTTTGTTTTTATTTATCTATTTGTAAACTGGTCAGTGAAATTTAAAAAGTTTAAAAATGAAATTCCATTGAATTTTATTCATAAACTTTAGTTCTTATAATATGCATTGTAATTGTTCTCCAAATCAGTGTTAGCATAATCATATCATTTCAAAGAAAGTCTTACAGCAGGGGACTTACAGTAACAATAATGATTTTTTAAAAATGCAGAATTGGACATGCTTTTCTATATGTTATCATATATGCAATATATTGCAAAATGATATCACACAATCTAATAATTAGTATTCTAATCTATTATTAAATAAAGATGAATCATATAATGTAAAATGGATTTACCAGTACAAATTAATGAGTTTAACTTTGAACAATAAATAAAATTTAGTCTTTTCTTTATAAATATCAAATATTATATAAATAAAGTAATTTAATCTTAAGATACATTTCATTAATGTTTCTGATTATGAGAGATTGATTATTATCTTTCAGAAAATGCTCCGGTCTATTTTTACTGCAAATTAACAGTAATAAACATAACATAGAACAAATATTTAGAAGTAAAATAAGGAAATCATTTCTTAAAACTGTTGTCAAAAAATGTCTATTAAATTAGGAACAAGGTAAAGGATACTATTTAGGAATTATCAGATTTAACATAAACCAGAGGAAAGCTAGAGAATACATCAGCAGAAATTTAGAGTCATCTGAATAATTAATACAATATATTTGTATTATACAATTGGTTACTGAAAAGTTCTCAGCTCAACTAAGAAGGATTCTAAAAACAATTTGATGTTTTGTCATTTGGTCATATTTTGAAACATGGATCAAGCGAATCATTTTTTATAATGAAAATATAAAACCCACAATAGTCATACATATATATATATATATATATATATATATATATATATATATATGACAAACTGTAAAAAATTATTTGTGACACATTTCATTGTTAGAATTTCATCGGACTACGCTTTGTTGATGTTGCCACATCTACACATGCATACGAAACATCCATAGCTGGTTTTGTTTCCATGTTTTAAAGTTATCAATTTGAATGTTGGTATTTTTTGGCATTCAAAATAAAAGATCCTATCAGTGACACCATGTACAGTACTTGAGTGATGGTTGCAAGTTGTCTACTTCCCCCAGGCTTCCCTCTAGCTTTGTTTATATTTTAATTACACACATGCTGTAGTGATACTAGCAAATTAGTATGCATAATTTGCATAAGCATAAGTGAACACTCATATAAGTGGTCACTGGGAATAATGAGGTAGTAGTACGAGCGGCTGATTAGTGCTAACCTCTACTTCACAACAATGGCGTCGCCGATAGGATATCAATTGTCTCTGGAAGATCCAGATTTTGTGGATACATGGATTCGTTGTTTCTCTGCCACTGCGAGAACAAAAAAGTTGAAAGACAACAAGGAAAAGGGAGGCAAAAATGAAATCATGGATTTATTTTTGGCTACAGCTGGATGTGAGGCAATAATGAAAGTCTCCACCATGGCATATCCCTTAAATTTGGAAGACCTGACTTTCGAAAAAAAAAATAAGTCAGATTATAAGAAGAAATATGAGACCCAAGAAAAGGCTGGTAGTGGCAGAAAGAACGAAATTCATGTTGATGAAACAAGAAATTGACGAACCAATTATAAAATATCTACACCGTCTACGAAATGCGAGCAGATATTGTGAATTTGAAAAACTTGGACAAGACCAACAGACTATTGAAGAGGACTTGATTCAATTAAGACTAATTGAAGGTATGTGCAATGCATCACACCAATATAAAATGGAACAATTACAAATAGGAAATATGTCTTTAAATACATGTATTGACTTCATGCAGCAACAAGAACTAATACAGTCATACAACCATTATAAAAGTCAACCCAGCGAACAAATATTCGCTGATACGTACATGTTAAAGAAGATAAAAAAGTGTTCGTATTGTGGCCGTGAACACGAAATGAAAAATGAAAAGTGTCCAGCATTTGGAAAGTGTCCAGCATTGCTTAAAAAAGAACCACTTTCAAGCAGTGTGTAAATTAAAAAAGAAAAATGTTGAAAGAATTGAAGAAAATGACACCAATAGGGAAGGTTTTACATTAAAAAATAAGAGTATAAAAAAATTGAACATAAGAAAAAAGACATTATAGTAAAGGTCAAAATTAATAACTGCAATTTAGATATGCAAATGGATACTGGGAGTGAAGTAACACTGATACCAAAAAATTTGGGGGAACACATTGGTAAGCCACCTTCACGAAAAAGCAGTTTACAACTCCGCCAAGTTGATGGGTCGGTTATAAAAATATTAGGATACTTTGAAGGTTCATTAGAGTTAAAAGAAAAATTTGAAGTAATACCTATAGTTGTTACAAGTTGAAAAAAAAAACACGGGCTTATTGGAAATGACGTGTTTAATATAAATTCTACTAAGTTAATTAATGAAATAAAAATGGAAAAAACTGGGAAGTTAAAAAACTATGAAGCAAGTTTAAAAGTAAAAGAAAATGTTTCTCCCTCTTATTATGAGGCTCGAAAATTACCAGTACATTTATTGCCATTAGTAGTGACAAAACTACGTAAATTAGTAGAACAAGACCTTCTTGAACATGTTCTACCTGGAGGTAGCAAGTGGGCATCACCGATTGTAGTTTTGAGGAAAACAGATGGTGATTTACGTATTTGTAGAGATTACAAAATAGGAGCAAATCACAAGATATGCTCGGATTCATATCCCACACCCAATGTTGAACTTGCATTACATGCACTGGCAGGAATGACCGTTTTTTCAAAAATAGATTTAAAAACAGCATACCACCAAATACCAATAGACGAAAACTTCAAAGAAGTAACCACGATAAATACGCCAATAGGGTTACTAAGATGGAAAAAGATGCCATATAGAACAAAAACCGCAAGCGCCATATTTCAAAGGGCCATTGAACAGGTTTTAGGAAATGTAAAAAATATGATTTGTTACCAAGACGACATATGCATAGGAGCTACTAATGAAAAGGAATTAAAAGAGAAAACTGACTTAGTCTTGAATAGATTAAGAAATGCTGGAATGACAATAAATGAAAAAAAATGTGTAAGCAATTCTAACAAAATATCTTTTTTAGGTTATTCCATTTCAAAAGAAGGTATATCACCAGACCAAGCCTTGATAGAAAAAATACCAAAAGTAGCTACACCTACAAATAAAAAAGAATTGGAGTCTTTTTTGGGGTTGGTAAATTTTTACAAGCGATACTTACCAAAATACATGGACTTGACGGAACCGTTTGCAAATTTAAGAAAAAAGAATGTGGAATTTATGTGGTCAGACGAACAGCAAGAAGCTTTTGAAAGATTAAAAGAAATTATGTCAAAGAAACCTGTAGTGAAAAATTTGATCCAAAAAAGGACATAACACTCACTACAGATGCAAGTGAACATTCAATATTGGGAATATTATCACAAGAAGGACATCCGATAATGTATTTGTCGAGAAGATTAACGAACACTGAATTTAATTACTTGAACATAGAGAAAGAAGCATTGGCTATCGTGTGGACAACTACTAAGAGCCCGACAATTTTTAATTGGGAAAAAATTTCTATTAATAAGTGATCATAGACCATTAGAGTTTATATTTAACCCAAGGAAAGAATTACCCAAAGTCACGACATCAAGGATTCTACGATGGGCGATAAGATTGATGGCATTTGACTTTGATATAGGGTATGTCAAAGGAAATTCAATTCCACATGTGGACACACTATCAAGATTGAGGTTCTACAAGGAGTCAAAAGATGAAACAGAGGAAGAATTTGAAGATTCATTCCTACACTTGATAGAGACTGATATTTTGTCTTTAGATAGAATGGGTGCGGAAACGAGACATGATCCGGTGCTAAGTAGGATAGTATCGAGAATAAGGAAAAACTTGTGGGGAAATTGTTCTAGGGCGGAAAGACCCTATAAAGAAATAAGACACAAATTAACAATAGAACATGGAGTGATTTGCAATGGGGACCTGGTAGTTCCCCCCAAAACACAAAGAAAACCGATAATAGAAAGTGTACATAATGATATACACTGTGGAGTAGCGGCCACACAAAAAAGGATAAAATTAGAAGCTTGGTGGCCGGGATATTCAAGAGAAGAGGAGAAGAAGAAGATTCATACCTTTCCCAAGGGTATTACCACGTAAGTGAACGTAATGGATTCGACTGGAATTCAAACTCAGCTCCCCGATTCCTCCATCCGATCTGCTATCCGTTACTCCACCATTCCTTAAATGCATATATTTCCAATTATTTTAATTTTTTTTTGATTTTTTACCCATCTTTTTTAATCCATTTTGTACACACACTCATGAATTTTTCATTTTTTTACACACACACACACATACATAGATTTCTACTTTCTTTTATTTGTGATCCTCATAATTTTTTCTAGTTGTAGAATTTTTCTTCAAAATTAGAATTTTTTCTTCATGTATGTCTTATATAGAAGTTGTTGTGGTGTTTTATATTATTAATTAAATTTTAAAGTATTTATTAATTTGTATTATTAATGAAATTATAATATTAATTAAATTATAATATTTTATGCTGCATTTGATGTATTATGTTATATATATATATATATATATATATATATATATATATATATATATATATATATATATACATACACACATACATATATATATATAAATTCTTTATCTCTTATATCAGTAAAGCAATTTTTTTTCCAGTTGCGGCGTCGAATGATAGATGGAGAAACAAGTACTGTTAAAATCAGAACATTTGTTGTATCTCCAGAAGGGGTAATTATTTTACTGTATTTTGTATTTTTTTTACATCAGCTGAAGATATAAGCTCATATAAGATATTGTACCAAATTTCTTTACTAATTATGTATCAGAGACCATATATAATTTTTCTATATTTTGGAAGTCCTTTTGTGAAAAGTGGTACAGTAATATGATAATTAAAAAGTGAAATGAACTTTAAAAGATGGCAAACAAGGTGAATCATTTTGTTCCTATTTTAACAGGATTTTGAATGTTGTAGAAAGGGCTGATCATAATGACAAAATTATTGTTCAATGACTAAATTCTGTTTTTGTGGTAGGGATGTTAAATATTATTTAATTTCCAATTGGTGTTTTTTATGTGTTATGTAATGTGAAGTAAGAAACAAATAGGTATTTATTACTCAGCATTTTGTTCTTCCTGTTTGCCTGCAGTTTTCATCTCCCTGACTTGATACCCTTCATTGTCAATAACATAATTCAGCAAGTTCATAAGGTGTTCCTTGTAGCGGCATGAGTTGCAGGCATAGTTTCTTTATTTTCAAAAATGTTAGTCTGCTAGTTCCTTCTTCTTCAAGTGGCTGTGATATGACTGCATTGCAGCTTTTCATTGTTCCTATCATCTAATTTTTGGGTCATCAAATTCTGGAAAATCATCTAAGCTTTTTAGACATCATGAAAATATGATTTGGTTCCATTTTATGTCATCCTGTGCAATATTTATTATACTGTAAAATAAAGAAAAAATACAAGAATTTAAAAACATTTATATAGATTTTGGCAAAAATATGCATGTTTAATACATTAGGTTGGTTTCCTGTGTTGTGCTAGTCAATTTTTCTCACCAGAATCTATCATATTTATAAGTCTACCTTTCATCCAAAGAAGAATCTGCAATGTTATCGGTTCTGATCTGACATCTTGGTTTCAGTCACTTTCCCACTGCTATATTCTTCTTCTTTTTTTCTTCATGAACAATTATCATCAGAACACTTATCATGAAAGTATTTATAGAAGAGGCACAGGGAAACTACAATATAGCGGTGGGAAAGTGACTGAATCCAAGATGCCAGATCAGAACCAGTAACAATGCAGATTTAAGCACAGTACTAGATTGGCAGCAAGATCTCATCATTTTACAGTTGAAATGGCTAGGTGTAACCATAAGTTCTATCCTAAGATTTTCATCTATCGCACTACTTGTGGAACTCTTTTCCGGCTTCTTGCTTCCCAGTCAACTTTGATCTTCAAAAATTTAAATACAATGTCAATAGTTATCTACTGCTTTCTTAATTCTTGTTATTTTATTGTTCTCTCTCCTTAATAGTGCTTTTTCTCATATTCTCTAACATTCAATAGCCCCTTGGCTTCATTGCCTTACTTGGAGTGAAATGATAAAAATATTTCACCAATCTACTGTCAAAATATACATGATAATAGTCCCTCAAATAATATATATAATAGTTTCAAATCATTGAAAATAATTTATTATTTTGGCAAAAAACATAGATTTCTTCCAAAATAAAGCTGACAAAGATGTAGTAAGCAAGGAAATTTAGATTAAATTTATATCTTGGCTTTTTTCTTAACATATATATTCTTTGATATACAGTTTGAAAGCAAACTATCCAAAATTAATAAAGTAATTGATGCATGACAGGTCTATAAAATACAGACACCAGTGGAATTTTCTGGTGAGAAACATAATTACAAAAGTTTTCTCATCAGAAATAAAGATCCTTTTAGTCTGATAGCTCTGCCTGAAATGATGATCTGTTTAATTCAACCATTCTTTGTTGAATGATTCTGGCCTTTGGGGAAAATAAGTTCCTGAAATTCATTCTTCACATCTTAATGTCTTAGATTTAAGTTTCACTTATTTACTATATATGACCCCTGTGGCTTGTTCCAGAATGTCTAAAGCTGTTTCATTTTTCATTAACTGTTGATGACCTTGACATGCTTTCTAATTCCCTTTCATCTTCATGTTAGCATGTAAAACTTGCCTTTTTTTCTTTTATTTTCTTTCTGCATATATTTTCTTTGATCTTTTTCTATTCCTTCTTTGTGACATTGTAGGTTCTATTATATGGTTTTGTTTACTGTAGATGAAGACATTTGCATTTGCATGACTCTCTCAATAATAAAAACAGAAAGTATGGGACATCATGTGGCATTTAATATAAAACAATAACATTCAAAATAATATTATATTTCTGGAGATACAATGCTGACACTTGGTTTAATTATGATAAAATCAAAATTATAATAGGGTTATAATTAATCAGCATCTTGTTTTCAAATCTGGACTCACTTGAAACATTTTTATTATAAGAAATAAATATGTTTAATGTAGAAAATTTTGAAAATTATACTATCCTGAAATGTATGAAAACTCATCTAGTCACTAAAATATGTACAACAGGTATATATAGACACATACACATTCTAGTGGTATAGTTTTATCTAATTTCTATAAATGTTATATTTTAAATTATTATTTTAGAGCTTTATTTTAATTTTATGTTCTGTGTAATTTTTTAACATAATTCTTGTAATATTAGTTTGGTGTATTAACTTATAAAGACAATCAACAATCAAGGTAATATCATAGTTTATTGCTTATTTAATATTTGCTGTTAATTTATTTTACATTTTTCTTTTCCCATATTAATTATGTATATGTTTTTTGAATTTTAATTTTCTATTCACTTTCAGATATTATTGTGACATTCTTTGTATTCTGTCTTTATGTTAAAGGATATTCATTACTTAGGAAATATCTATATTATATTTTATGAATTTTCCATTTGTAAGTGATATAGCAAATATGTGCATGCATTGTGACTCTAAGGAGCAGCAATGAAGTGTATGCATAAGCTTTTTCAGTCTGTTCATGATTATTGTATTTCACCAAATTACCTGATTTAAATAATTTTCATATATATTTATATTTTCTTTATTGATTATTTAAATACCTGCTGTTGTATTGTTTCATTTTATTATACTTATAACATTTCAAAATTAATATGCTTGCTTCTTTTTAACTTTTACAAAATTGTTTTCATAAACTAGGAATTTTCTTTTATTCATAGAACCATGTATGGATAGAAAACAGAACATATTCATTTACTCCAATCAATGAAACCTCCTTCAGGTATGTTTAATTTTAAACCTTTTGAAAAGGCTTTACTGTTCTTTGATTACATAGCACCGTTGTAAAAAAAATTAGCAAAAAAAAAACAACTTGACCTGTATTAGGTAAATTTGTGACAAAGTGGAAAAATTATTTGTGATAATAGATAATAATTTACTAGTTGTGAAAATATATAGGTGCTTTGATTGTTAGATCATCCAAAGTAAATTTACATTCAGGTTCTTACATTTCACCTTTCTATTATCACAGTGTGGGATACTTATTGATGGAAATGACATTTTTACTTATAATTGTACATTTTTTTTAAAGAGATTTTAAATACACATAAAAATAGGATTTTTGTTTTATTTATCCATTTACACCCCTTTCATGCTGAGTTATTTTTCAAAATGAGTGACTGTTTATTAATGACATTCCCAATATGTATTGTTCTTTAAATGTTTTCTAAAGAGATGTATCAGCATACTACCAATTCAAAATAATCTAATTCCTTTATTTATTGTTGCTCCTATGCAAATTCTCATCTCCTCTAATTTCTTCTTTGTCACTTTCACCTTATTTAAAAAATTTGAAAAGAGCAATAGCTTCATGTCCATCAAATTTTCTCTTAGCTTCCATGTGTGTACAGCGGTGAAATAAAATTTTAAAAAATTAATCAACTTTTCTTTCTCTTCTCTTACCTAGACAAAAAGCTTTAGTATCTTATAATTATTTCATTTTGTTTCTATCTATTGATATCAATCTAATTATATCCATCTTATACTTATATTGATATCACCATTTGTGTTTATCTATTATTACTTTGAACCTGACAGCAGAGATGGCTATATCCAGTTAATTACTTATAATGATAAAATGAATTTAGGTTAAATTTTTTAAAAGATGATTCAAAACAAAACATCAGTTTTGTGTTAAGCCCCAAGATTTGGGATTTGTTTACATTGATCACTCAAGAACCTAATTATCTCTACAGAAAGATATTTAGGAAGATTTTAAACATACAAAGGAGATACCATATGGTTAATTAGCAAGATTACCTCAGATTAATATGCCCTTTTTCTGCAACAGTCATCTGCAATTTTTATAGTTGTCATTATTTTGAATTTCTGGCATTACTGATAGGAATGCAAGCTAGTCAATTTACAGGAATATGAAGATAATGAAATTGGGCATTGTGAATTGTCTGGCTAGGTAAAGTGAAGTTATTTTTATCGGAAAAGATTTCCCAATATAAAGCCACTTAATGGTCATTTATCTGAGTGGGGAGCAGACGTCAGACATGTGAGACACACCTGCATTTCAGTGGCCTGAGTGAACACACAGACACATGCATGACTGAAGAATTGAGAAACAGTCAACTGGGAGACTATTACGGCTGTGACTATCATTTCAATCGGCAGTAGACCTAGTGGACTGGTTTGTTATTACTTTGATAGTTGCAACTAGAAGTCTCCAAATCTCCATTCCTGCAGTAGATTACTGATTTGCAGCAGCTAATAGACACTTTATTCAACCAGTTTTTCAAGAAACCTGTTGTTAGATTTATCAACAGTGTTGTGCATTTTATTGAAGGAGTTTTTATTCTAGCCAGAATTTCAACATGCACACAGACAAAATTGACAAAAGTTTACCACAGTCACAGGCAAGAATTACACAATCTTGCCTGTGATACAGAGCATATATAAAGGGTTCACACTAGGCTTTGCCGTCAATCCCAATATCATAGGATTTTGGAAAACCCAAATCAACCTTATTGAGATGACACACTGACCTCAACCAAGGAGGGAAAAGAAATCCAGAGATCTGCAAGGTCACTGTTACTCAATAAAGATAGCAGAGCTAGTAACTGAGAGAAAAAGGAGAATAAGACACTCAGAGCCAGGGTAGTGTGGTGTAAGAGTTGAGAAGTGATAGGTGTGTTGTTTGATGTGTCAATGCCAGTGAGTTGCTATAGAGGATTCTGAAATTAGTACACTTTTTGTACATTTTAATCATAATAAATTACCTACTAATGCATTAAGTATATTGTTTTGTAAAAAGTCTCTTGTATGTCCATACAATCTTCTATTTAAATTCCTAGATGCTTCACATCTGTATTTCTTGGGACATTTTGCAGTATATTTTGTAAATTCCTTTTGTATATTCTTATTTACTTTTTAGCTGATTAAATCACTTACTGTTTTTGAAGTAGTTGTGAAAAATTTTACATTAAGTTTAGATAAATTCTTTTCAGTTGTAATCATTATTGTATTAGTAGGTTTTGTGTCTAGTTTTATCAAGGGTATTTGTGTTATTTTCTTTTTTGCTTCTGTGGATTTTGTAAGCTTTCTATTTTGCATTATATACTATTATAATTCTGTTTGTTAGTAAGTTAACATGTGTGTTACACCCTGCCATTAACTCAGATGAATAATGGACAATTCCATTTTCATTGCAAGAAAAGCAGAAGCCTCAGCCTCTTTGATCTTAAGGAAAGAAAAGAAAGGGAAGATAGAGGAGACACTGAAACTATTATCTGCTTCAGTGAAATAGGAAACCATGTCAGTTTTTAATCTTTTCATTTGTACTCTCTTATTTCTTTAAATAATGACCTGCATTCATACTTTTTATGGTCCGCTTCCTTGTACCACGGTGATAGTCCAAGGTAGAACCAATAAAGAAGAACTCAAACACGTATATGAAATAACACAGATATATTACAAACAGGAATATATACAGAGAAGTAGAAAGTGTTAGTACGAACAATCAGGTTTAGTAGTAATTGTCTGAACGCGAATTTCGGACTGCCTCTGACTCGACTCTTGACTCGACTGACTGACTGACTGACTCGCTCGCTCAGACTTCAGACTGAACTCCCTGCTTCCTCTTGAGGTGCAGTATTTATTACGTATGGAATAGTCCATTATGTTATTATGGGTAAGGTCCCATAACATTACTTATGATTGTTATTGTGGTATTTTGTTAAAGTTGCTAAGCTCAAATATTTAATGATGCAATTTCCAATATATTTTATAGTTGTAGAACTCACAATGTGATCCTTAACTTAAAAATTGATTCATCAGAAAATTAAAATCTGTGAAACTTTCATGGGTACTGTTAGTATGAAATAATTAGGAAGATGAATAATAATTGGAGGATGAAGAAAAATACATTTTTCAAATATCTGTCTATAAAAATTGAAAGTAAAATAACATTGGCTTTTAGCAAGTCAGCAAATTCTTATACTTTGTATTGGTAAGGAGAGATTAGTTTTTGATTTTCTAGACATTTCTTTAAGAGATTTAGGTATTTGTTTGCTGATAAGTTAGTGTTTAAGGATTTAATATTTAAATTAGCTGTGAGTTTATCTTTCATATTTATGTCTTTTAATCTTTCAACAAAGTTGCCAGAATTTTAAATTAATTTTTCAAAAAAGTGGGATTAAATTTTTGTGATAGCAAAAGTCTTTGGGAAGCTCTTCCAAAACTGCTTAGTGTGTTTTTGTAGACCATCAAGTTTGGGAGTTTTAAGGAGATATGCAATCAATTTCTCCATGTTTTGTTCTCATTATTAATTAACTTTCTAATTGATTTGTTGAATTTTTGTATCGCAGAAATTATTTAATTTATCATAAAGGTTTGTATTATTGAGTAAAAGTCTTATTATTTCACTGTAGTTATCCTTATCTTTGTTCTTAATTTCAACTAAATATTTAGTGCTTTTCATGTCTTTGTGATTGCATTATTTTGTTGTCTGTTCTTAATGTAGCAGTGATTGTTTCTTGTTTGAAACCTTTATTGAAATTTCTACCATTTTGTTTATGGTTCTTAATTATTGTATCTTTGATGTCTTCTTTTTTCATCCTTGTTCCAAATTATTAGTTTGAAACAATTAGTTTGAAGTACTTTCTCAAAATGAAACAGATTACCTTTGTTTTTTCTTCTATTCTCTCATTTACTTACCCACTATTTGTCTGATATATATATTATATATCATATCTTAAAATATATAAAATCAACATGTATCTCTTCTACTTACATATAAGATTTATTCCATTGCTAAAACCATAATTAGCCTGAAGGAAGTCTCTTATAGAGACAAAGCATGTAATTTTCCATTTTGTCATTCAGTTACCAACTATTGGATTGATATTTCAGTTTTCATCCACAATTAGATATTGTACACTTCTTTTTATTATTGAAAATCCATTTTTCATCAAAAGTGATGACACTGAATATCTAATGATGCCCAACAATATGCATAAAAATATGCCTTGTTTTTTGGCTTGTAAAATACAATTATTTTAAACTTAAAAATTGCAAATAAATTGCCTCTTAAGTTTTGTTTCTAAAATAAACTTGGCTGTAAAAATTCATTTACTATATTTTTATGATTAAGATGTATAATTGAGATCATATTGAGAATTTATTTAATAGCTTAATTTGCCATTACATAAAAATTAAAAGTCTACACAAGCATATAAAATGATTATTATTTTAAATTTTACATTTTAATCAAACAAAATACAGTACTCTTTTATTTGTTTTAGCCTTTGTGTGACAGTTCCAACAGACTTAAAAAGCTATATGCAACCTTTAGGAATTACCGAAATTGAAGGTAAGTTATTTTCAGTAGAATTTTTATGTTGATAAATCACTTTAATATAAATATGTAAAAAGAATTGATTAAAATAATAATTCTGTATTGTTTGTTAAAACAATGTACTGGCTGTTTTAAATGCACATAGGACATGATATTTTCAAGAAACTGCCACCAGATTGTAGTAGTTTCTTGAAAATATCATCTCAATATCCTATGTTCACTGAGGGAAAATAAACTTGCAGCACCAAGAACATATGTTTCAAGTTACTCACATATGCAATTAATATAGCTGGATTACAGTAAATAATCACATATATTCACATATGGCAAATACCATCCAATAATATATTGTTCCATACCTCTTGCTTGACACAATGCTAACTGATGAATATCATCATCTCAGCTAGCTCCAAATCAACCATCCTACTGTTATAATAAGCATTTGGTTGCAAAAGGAAAGGAATAACATGGATTAGGTTTTTTAATGTGTATTTGTTTAATATATATTTATCTTACAGTATTGTTGGAAAATTGGTGAAATGTTGATTTCTGTTACTGATCGTTAGGATGGCAATTAGGGTAACGCTGGGTGTTGACTGATTTCTTGTATTGCTTTGACAGGATTGGTGTCACAGAGTATGGTCGTTCATTGGATCTGACGCATGTGTTGGTCGATTGAGGCCACGGTGATGGGTTGATTCATGGTAGGGAGCATTGGTTTTCAAGGTGACAAGGGATTGGTGTAGCTGATAGGCTTGTTTCTTTGAAATGGGGTTTGCATGCTTACAGAGTCTGATTTGCCAAGGTGACAGCATTGGCAACAAGGAAGGCTTATAGCTAGTTGGTGTTGAGGCTGGTCTCTGTTATTTCGTGTGTGAAGAGTTGGGGGATTAGTCAAGCCTCGGATTAGTAATGGTTGTGTTTAGAGGAGAGGTTATGGTGGTGGTGCCCTGCATATCAGCAGGTGGCCTACTGGTCCACAACTGCTGATGGCCATCATGAAGAGCCTGCTTTTAAGTGGATATGGCAGTCCCCAGGGACATCTCCTTTTCGACGAGAACATTCATGATTGGCTAGTGTCATTTTCATTGTAGGGGCTTGCTTCAGTAACTGGATGAACATAATGCTCAGAACCTATGTCTAGAAAACAACTTTTTTTTTAAATTTTGTTTTCTGCCTTCAATGCATTCACATTCAGCCAGCATGAAGAATAAGAAAGGGATCTAATTGCAACAGAGTAAAACACTACTACCCTGTCAATTTAGCTATTACCATGAACAGTAACCACACTGTACTATCCAGGCTATTTCTCTCTAAAAGGTGACATTATAGACTCTTGCAACTACCATAGCTAAACCTGCATGCCATCATGATGGGAGTAAATCAAATACACATTTGAGCAATACCTTCAATATTGTCCCATATCTAGCCAACACTTGGTTTTATCTCATCTTTTCAAATGTCAATTAAGTTTTGTAGTACAGAATATAAAGGGTAACAACTATCAGAAAAAGCATAAGAAAAAATAGACTCAAGGTACTCATTGTCACTCCAGCTATGTGGATTAGTAAATCACAGCTCATATGAATACTTTGCAAAATCAAGAATGCACACTAAAAACCTACCTGAAGGAGTACCCTTCAGTTTTATCTCTGTTGAGATTTTGAAAATACACAAAAATAGATAAAAATAGATTTTCAAATTCTATCTACAGCTACAATTTCATAAAGTCTGAAAAAAGATACCTAATAGCAAACTTGGTGTCACTTCATATGGATGTAGTAGTAAGCTAGCATATAACCTTTTTCAACCAATAGGAACAATAGAAAACAAAAGAATATTACATTATTATTTTGAAATATAAATAAGCACATGACATTGGGTATAATGGAAAGGGAGGAGAAGGATAGGAAGAAGAAGAAAAGAAGGGAGAAGAGAAGAAAAGCAAGTGTAAATGCATCAGTGGGGGGTTAAATTACATTTTTTTATACAGCCTTATATGCACTTGAGAAAAATTTGCTGATATGTAAGCAATGGTTTCAGATTTTCCAGTCAATCTGAGGTTTCAGGTCTTTCTCCCTCAGTTCCCAAAATTTTTTGGAGAGCAGTTTGGTGCTTTAATCTTGGGTTGGAAAAAGAGTGTCTATGGTTATACAATGTTTATTTCCATTCACCCATGGAAATCCTAATATAAATATGGTGGTTTAAAATATTTTCTTTGGGGTAAATGGTAGCTTGATAAATAACATTAGATTTTGAATCTGGCCGCTAATAACAGTCAACTGGTAAATACATCCGGATCAGCTATTGCTCAACACATATAGCAGGATTTGTATTACTGATTTTAGTGTGGACTGTTTCTCTATTTTATCAGGTCCCACTCGTTATATCATCTCAAGGTCCTGGAGTCCTTATATATCAGATCCCATAAGCCTTCCCTCTGTAAGCAGAGGGATTATTCGCTGGTCTGAATATTGTTGGTCTCTAGTTTTCCTTGAAATTTTTTTTTTTTTCATTAGTCATCTTTAATCAATTTACATGTTTATTCTTTTATTTCCCAGAATAAAACTTGATAAGACTGGGATGAAATGGTTGTTTTTAGTTACTAAATTTACACTGATATGCCTTTTAAATTACACTTATTCCTTGCTATTATTACATTTTGTACAACAAAAAAACTTGTTTAAATATATATATATATATATATATATATATATATACTTTCAAATTTGTACATACACAAACATTTGTTTCCAAAACTTTATTTCTCTACTCTTTATGATCTCTCTTTAACCTTTCTGAGAACACTTTTTCACTTGTCACCATTGTTGTTTTAAAATTGTATTCAAATTTATTTGACAATGTTGTTTTATTCCTCATTTTGGTCATGCAAAGTTCCATTGGCTCTTTCTTTCCCTTGCTTGCTGTTGGTCAAAACATCACCTTCCCTTTCCCCCTAAAGGGATAGCAGTAAAGTCCTTCACTTCACCATCAAATGAAGTCCAGCCATAATCACCAGCAGCCTGTGCAACACCGACTTACTGCTACTACGAGGCTTCTCTAACATGCACCTCTCACATTGTGTAAATGCTATCATTAAAATCCTCCACTTTGACAGAGATAATGGAAAGATAAGTGTTATATTTCCACTATGATGCAAAATAACAATTGGGAAACATTCTCAAATGTGTACATGAAATTCTTATTCCAATACACCTCTTCACAATGTCAGCCTAAAGGATAACATTGAAGAGGGAAGAATTAGTGGTAAAATAAGTCAACAGATGAACATGTATCAGCTAGCTCTGGATAAAACATACCACCTGACAATTTAACTACTGCTACAAAGAGCAACCAAACTAACCTGCCATTCAAGCTATTTCTATTTAACAAGTGAAATCATAGATTCTTGCAACTACCACAGCTAAACCAGTATGCCATAATGATGGGAGTAAATCAGGTACATAGTTGAGCAACAAACAACTTCAATATTGTCCCCAAACTAGCCAACATGTGGTTTTACAAATGTCAGTTAAATTTTGAGAATTTGTACTAACATCCCAACCTCTAGAATAGTGAACTTATTCATAAATAAACATTTGCATACATACCCTCCCCACTTCATTTCCAAATATGTACACACCAAATCAAAGCTTGAGCAACCTTATATAGCTCCTTTACTAACAATTACTTAGCAACCATAGAGATATCAACTACATGCATATATGTACCAGGATAAGAAATCTTGACATCCATTCTCCACAGATAATACACAGCACTCATTCTGAGGTAGCTCCCAAGCAATAAACTCTGAAGTCTTTCTACTTTTCCACTCACTGGCTCAACAGAAATTTCCAAGTAACACTCAATTGAATAAAGAAAACCTTAACATTCTCAAGTTTTATTATCACCTTCAGTTGCATAATTATATAATTATATTCAAGTCCATTGGTACACAAAACCTGTTCCAGCTGTTAACCTAAGATGAAATAGTTGAGGTTAAATACATTGTGGAACACTGTGGATTCTCCTTTTCTTTCATATACTTTCCACTGCAGTAACTAAGAACAAGATGGTGACAAAAACCCACTTCCTCAAATTTAACCAAATAAATTTTGGAAAGGGCTTAAATTGTGAACTGAGATTGATTTGTTTTTTTTTTTTATAGCTTATCAACCTTTTGCAGATTACTTAAAGCCAGGAAATATTTTTAGATTGCAAGAGCTTTTAGGGGATAATAATGATACCAGTTAAACTAATTGACTCATAGCTAGTGAGAAGTGGATTTATATCTTATCCAAGGGCATTTGCCTGTGAATGAATATAATGAACCAGACTGGAGTTGGAGCTCAGCTCTCTGATTTGAAATTCTGAGCTGCTATCCATTATACCACCCACACATTCAAGATTATGGCACCTGGGTGACTGCTCGGGAATCCCGAGCAGTCACCCATTTTGGTACTGACCAGGCTCAACATTGCTTAACTTCAGTGATTATACAAGAACTGGTTTCTCAATGTGATATGGCTGTAAACCTCTGAGAACTGAGAATCTCCTCTTACAACAAATGATTGTGTATTATAGCAATCAACATGCACATGTATGAAAATTATATATATATATATATATATATATATATATATATATATATATATATATATATATATATATATATATATTAAAAAAGAAAATAATATTCAAAAGATATATAAAAAATATCAGGTCAGTTAAATATGGGTTTTAAATTTTTCATTATTTAACAGAAAACTTTAAATGTTTTACTCTACAATTAAATTTGCTTTCAGGTAAAAGTCTGTTGCGTTCTAATCTGTCTGCTATGTTGGTTGCACCTTGGTAAGTAAAATTATCAGTATATAAAATAAGTTAGCTTTTAATGAATCTAAAAAGGTTCTTTTGAATTTCATTGCTTGTCATTTTATGTCTTAAATTCAGCTTAGTTGTTTCAAAGATTTTAATCAAGCAAGTTCTACAACAGATCAATTGGAAACTGCATTATAGTTAATGATTCTCAATATTTTAATAGTTTATATTTATTACTAGTTTGTCCTATGCTATAAGAAATGATGGCATGTAAGTCCTTAATAGTCTTGCCAGTGCAAAGGAGACAACTAGTAAAAAGTTAGTCATTACAGACAAAAATCTACTTGGCATATATAATTTCATAAAAAAAATTATCCTATAAAATACTTTTCATACTCTAGCTTCCACCAGCATCAACATAATATAAATGTATGTACTTTACAATATCTGGTTTTTAATTTCTATCTAAAATCATGTATCATTTTTTAAAGCATTCAGTTTAAAAACATGCTCTTCGTGTTTTCCATATATCTATTTATAGACTCAACTCTCTTATGATGATGCAGAAGACAAAACTACTAGGTTTTATTAAAAAAATGATTGGCTATGGAAATAGATTATTTTAATAGATGTTGTCAACATTTAAAACAACTGTTAATTCTAATGCTTTTTTTCTCAATCAAAAATAGAAAAAAATAATAAAATAATGAGGAAATTTATGCAAAGTTATACAAATTATTTGAAAATATCATAACCATAAAAATAAAAATTTGTAAATCTAGACAAGTAGTCACTATTTGATCAATATATTGCAAAATATATTGCAAAGTATATTGCAAAATATTCATTTTTCAATATACTTTCAGAACATCTGAATATATTCATTGCTTGTTTTTAAAGAATTTATGAAACTACTAAATGCAACAATAATAATAATGAAGAAGAATTCTAGTTTATTCTATTCCTTAAAATAAAAATAAATGAACAATTTGTACAGTATGCTAATGAGAATCAATTTGTTGATAGTTAAATTATATTTATAATTATTTCTTTACAAGTATATTTTTTTAGAAATGCTTTTATCCAAAATATGAGTATACACTGAAGTCAATACCAGGTGGTGACAGTCTGTTTCATACTTGTACATAATCTTCAGGCCATGTGTATTGGGTGGTAGCACAACTATTTATATATGCTAGTTTTGGGGGCATTATGGGTAGCTATATCAGCTATTTCCAGTTTATTGTGTTATTCTAATTGCTGTTGGATAGGCAGGAATGGTTATATTTTGAATTATTCTAATGGCTATTGAGTAGAAATAACTGAACAAACTGAACGAATGCACATATAATCTGAACTAAGTAAATTTAATAATAATAATCAGTTATGAATAATGAATGAATAAATACAAAATACCCTAAAGTAGTCAATAATAAATAAATAATGAATTAAAACTTAACAAAGAATCTTATACAATAGCTATAAAATGACCGTATTCTGGCACATAATTATTTCTACACAATAATTAGAATAATTTAAAATGTAACCATTCCTGCTTATCCAATTGCAATTAGAATAATGCAATAAACTACAAATAATTGACCTTGCTACTCATAATGCCCCATTGAACATCATATATAAAGCTGTGCTACCATCCAATGTGCAGAGTGCGTTCAAGCATGAAACAGACTGTCACCACTTGATTTACACATGCTCTATCCCTCATATTAAGCACATTTAAGCTATGATATGTATAAAACTGTATTTTATATAGATAGATAGATAATTTCTATTTAATGAAACTCAATACCCCATATGAATGGCCATTTCACCTCCTAAGGAAAATTTTCTTACCAAGGTTTTTCAACACAAAAATTTTTTTTAAGATAAAATCAAATCAAAAGGAAGCTTGTAGATTTAATAACTTTAAAAAAAAAAATAAAAACTATAATAGAAATAAAATATAAAAAATATATAAGAATCTAAATGTATAATAAAATTAAAAAATAATTAATATGTAAAACAAATAAAAATATTATAATTAAACAACAAATATATATATATATGTGAAAAGTGATGTGTATATAAATATATATATATATATATATATAATTATTTATATATTATATGTGCGGTACTTATTAGAAAGCGCTCAATATCAGCGATAGAGCTAACATTTGGTTGGATTGATGTGAGCCTGGATTTCACACTTTTGCGATCGTCAGACAAACTGATTAATTTTTTAAAAATTTGGGTTTATGTTGATTGCGTGTATTGGTGTTATTATGGGAGTAGGGGGAATCGTCGACGTGATGTCATCGTGTTAACACAAACATAGATTTATGTCCGTACATATATGATATATACATATAACAGACATGCACACTTGCTCATCTGCCAGGACTCATACATATATAAACATATGTGGACAGTTTGGGATTTGACATATATGTATATGTATATGTTTATATATGTATGTGTTGGGGTGCACCCACCTTCTAACTAGTAATGGACTGGTCCCTCTTATATAAGTCAGCTCTGGAGAGAGAGTGACAGAGCGTCAGAGAGAGAGTCAGCGTTAGCAGTCCAGATAAGCTTACCCGGTACATACCGTTGGACTATTGGATATTGTTTCGTACTAACCAACCTTCGTTCTACTAATCACTCTATTGTTAATTGCTTTTATGAATATACCAGTATTTTCCTCTACAACTGTGTTTGTCTTGATTCATACACCGACACGTGGGAAACTACAACATCTCAACAGTGGCGACTTATATATATAACAGAAATACTAACCGATTTCCAACAAAAAAATTTTAAAAAGAGTTCAAGCATTTACAAAAAAGGATTACAAGTTATCGACAAAAGAAAAAAACTGTAAGTTAGACATTAACTTATTGATTAAATTGGAAGCTATAATAACCAATTTTTGTGCTAAAAAAAAAAAAAAAAAAAATTTGTCGTGCCAGAAAATTTGAATTTTTGGCCCCCCCTCAAAAAAAAAAAAAAAAACACATAATTTTTTTTTTTCTACACATACATAATCATGGAGCAATTTCAATCAACTATGCTGGAACTCATTAAGTATCAGATGCAAAGACAGCAAGAGAGTGAAGAACGTTTTCAGAAAGAGCAACTTAAAATTCAAGAAGAACAACTTAAATTTCAGAAAGAGCAAAAGGAAGAAAATGCAAAACGATTTTTGGAACTACACAAAATACAAGAAAATGAAAAAACAGTTAGCAATGGCGAACTTATACATAAAAGCTATACTGTCCAAGCAGAAAGACTTGGGATGAAAATATTTTTTCCCAAGACACAATATGGTCAACGATCAAAGTTTTACTTATAACCCAGAAGAGGAAAAGACTTTTGAAAGATACTACCATAGATATCAGGATTTTTATGAAGTTGATTGCCAAACATGGACAGATGAGAAAAAAATAAGATTATTGCTACGAAAACTGGGAACGGCAGAACACAACAAGTTTACAGATTTTATATTGCCCAAAAAGACAAAAGAGATTTAAAATTGATGAAGCAATTGAATTATTAAAAGATATTTTTAATCCCAGATTTTCATTATTTCACAAAAGGTGGAAATGCCTGAATATCCAAAAAAGCGAGGAGGAAGATTACACAACAACATTTGGTCAATCAAGTAAATAAGGCGTGAAAGGACGATTTTTCACTTATCCAATAATCTGCAGACAATTTCAAGTGTCTAATATTTTTCCTCTAGGCTTAGTGTCTAAAAAGATAGTGAAATGAAAGACGCATTTTAACAAAACTAGAAAATGACCAAAACATGACACTACAAAAGCTAGCTAAGTACTGTCAGCAATGCGAAAGTTCATTAATCAAAATCAAAAAAAAATAGAAAAACTGCTATCAAAAATGTGAAGAAAGTATATGAGGAAGACAGTTTTCAGTTCTCCATCGTCGGAATGGAAGTGGTATCCTACTACAAGAACGAACAGAGGCTATAGAAAAAAAAAACCCGAAAGTGCATGTTATGGATGTATTTAGTGGCATTGGTACAATGACTGCCCATATAAAAATAAAGCGTGCAGAAATTAAACTTGATAGGACAAAAGATGTCAAAGTGTAGAAAAATTAAACAGAAGTCTAAAAAAAGTTACCAAGTTAGACGAAGATCAAGACCTGAATATTCGAAAATACCTGCATGTAAAATTGTACAACAAGAAGGTAAAAATGCAACTAGATTCAGGATCTGACATTTCAATCATTAACACACAAACATGGAAAAATCTAGGAAAACCAACGTTGCTTTAAAATCCAACAAAATAGCCAGGACGGTAACTGGAAAAAAGATAAAATTTGAAGTGGAAATATGGGTAAATATAACTTTCAACAATAAGTTTTAAAAATGAAAATGTTTGTAATGAAAAACACAAACAACCTGTTTGGGACTGACGAATCACTAAGTTCAACCTATGGGGACGTGCCCATTAGAGTTTTTTGCCACAACATTAGTGAAAGCAAAGACCATATAAAAAATCTACAAGCAGAATTGAAAACGGAATTTTTATTTTTAATGAAGGACTTGGACGTTGCACTGAAGCATCAGCAAAAAATACAGCTGAAGAAAATATCCAACCAATTTGAATAAAAAAAAAAGCGTAGCATCCCTTTTGCTGCATTAGAGAAAATTGATCAAGAACTCAAAAGACTAACGAAAAATTGTTTGTGATTTGAAAAACAGAATAAAAGTGTAGGTTGGATTTTCCTTATGAAATAATAAAAAAAAGAATTAGGCATAGAAATTTGATTTTTCAAGTGCATTTTTCAACCAGGTTAATCGATTCTTAATAGAAAAAGTTTCACTATCCACTACCAAGTCCCGAAGAAGTGTTTTAAGTTAAATTTATTCAAAAAAAAGGGGAAAAAATAGATCTTAGGAGGCATACTTGCAAGTACCCCATAGAAAAAAAAGTGCAAAGTTACTATGTATTAAAACACATAAAGGCTTGTTTAGAATCTTTATTTTATATTTAATATTTTTTTTACAATATTCTTAGAAAATTATGGATACGATGTTATCCGGTTAGAACTACACAATAAGCATATCTCGACGATATTCTTGTAAAAAAGTGACAGGGTGGATGAACATAAAACACCATTTACAAGCAAAGTTTAAAAGGTTAAGAAGATATGGATGGTTAAAGAAAACAAATCGATTTTCTCCTGGAAGAGATCAAGTATCTGGGACATATAGTGAATAAAGAAGAAAAAAGCCAGATAAAAGTCGAGCTTCAGCAATAAAAAAATATTTTGAGCCAAAGGATATGTTGAAAGAAATACAAATTTTTTAGGCTTGGTGTCATAAAAAAGGACTTTATCCCAGACCTCCACATTTCGAAGTTTCCCCTTAACGATCTACATTAAAAAAAGAAAATATTTGATTTGGACAAAAGAAAATACAAGCATTCAAGGATATAAAAGAAAAATTATTTTCAGATCTATTTATTGTACATTTTGATCCAAAGGTAAATAGGATTATTATTGTGATACGATGCCAGTTTTGACACATTTATTAAAAATATAAAAGTTGCATATTGCACATTTTGGAAGAATGGAAAAGTTTTATTGATAAACTCTGGCAAGCAGATCGCTACTACCTTTGAAGAAACTATTCACAAATTGAGAAAGAGGCATTGGCGATTATCTTCGCTGTAACAAAATTCCATCGAAAATACAATGGAATTTATTTTTTGCTTTAGACAGACCACAAGCCTTTTGGTAACAATTTTTAATGAAAAAGGGTTTGCCAACTTTTATTTTAAATAGATTGCTTAGGTGGGGGACAATTTTATTAAATTATAATTTCAGAATACAATATTTGTCCACCCACAAAATTGGTCACATAGATGGGCTATCAAGACTCATCCCAAAAGCAACAGAACCTTTAGAGGATTAGGTAATGTCGCTTCCCTCAGAGCAGAGGATGAAAGGTTAAAAGAAAACAAATATAATACTTATATTTATTACCAAATATATGAAGGACATAAAAAAAGAAGCAAAAAAAGACAAATATATAATATGTTTAGCCAGTAAAGATGAAAAAATTCAAATAACATTTCTCTATACGATAATGTGCTATTATATAGTGAAAGGGTAAAAATCCCTAACACACTCCAAAAAAGAATACTGAAAGACTTTCATGCTGGTCACCGGGCATAAATAGAATGAAGAGCCTTTTGATCCACATAAATCTACTGGCCAGGTATGGACAAGAACACAGTGGTTTTCTATGGTCGGCAGATGTAAAGGCTGCATTTTGGCATCAAAATCACCACAAATTCTACAGAAGCCAAATAAAAAACCGACAGGCCAATTAAAAAGGATTCATGATTATAATTCAGGGTCCAATTGACGGATGGCATTATTTGAAGAGTCAACACTTTTTAGTAAATGGCCCAAAGTTTTTTCAAATGAAGAGGCCAACATCTCAAAAACAATAAACAAATTACACATGAATTATTTGCAAGGTTTGGGGTGGTAGATACTGTTGTTAGTGACAACGGTACCCAATTTTTATTCTCAAAGAATTGTTTGAAATTTGATATGCAAATCAATAGATTGAGCAGAAATATATTAGATCTGCAAGAAAACATAAGTTTACAAAATTTAATAATAGACCGAATTGAAAATATATTATATATTCCCCACAATAAAAAAAAAAAAAAACAATTTTAGAAGATTGATTTTGGGGCTTGCACCCACCTTCTAACTAGTAATGGACTGGTCCCTCTTATATAAGTCAGCTCTGGAGAGAGTGACAATGCGTCAGATAGAGAGTCAGCGTTTGCAGTCCAGATAAGCTTACCCGGTACATACCGTTGGACTATAGACTTTGGATATTATTTTCATACCTAACCAACCTTCGTTCTACTAATCACTCTATTGTTAATTGCTTTTATGAATATACCAGTATTTTCCTCTACAACTGTGTTTGTCTTGATTCTTACACCGACATTGGGAAATATACAACATCTCAACAGTATGAGTGAAAACAATTGAAAGCAAATTTATATATGTGTCTCGTACCTCATCAGGTGTATGGACATGCATCTATGTAAATTATACGTTGAATATACATCATGATTGATTTTCCCTACTCCCATAATAACACCGAGGATGGATAATCTACATAAACCCAAATTTTAAAAAAATTAATCAGTTTGTCTGACGATCGCAAAAGCGTGAAACCCAGAGTCACAAACTCACATCAATCCAACCAAATATATATATATATATATATACTAAAAGTTTTCAAGAAATAAATCAATATATATAGTATAGATGCTTTGAAACAGGAGTAATAATAATAGGGATAACAATAATCACAACATATATATATATATATATATTTGAATAAAAAACAGACCACTTTAAGGTTCGATGTAATAAATTATTTCACCACAGCCCTTTTAAAGGGCTCTGGATCATCAGACTTTACTTCCAAAAGTTAAAATGAAAAGATATTTACACATTTTTGACAGGCTGTATTAAGCATATGTAAATTAAAAAAGTGAGGAAGTGAGGGGAGAGAAGACAAAATATTGAGCTTTTGAGGGGAGAGAAGACATTATTGAGTTAGATGTACCATTACAAAATCTACAAAGAATTTAATTTGATGTTTTTGGAGTTTGGGGTATTTTCTATGAAATATATCGATTGGAAAAAATTCATTAGAAAATACATTGAAAAGAATAATTCATTCTACATCTAGTAATCTTTTTTATTTTCCTAAACTTTTTTCTTGTGAATTTATTAATGTTGACATCTATTTTTTTGAATTTTGTTCATAAATTAAACTTTTGACTGTTTTTAGGTACCTACATTTTTGTAGACATTTAGATTTATATCAAACTTTAACCCCCAAATATACCCTTTAAAGGAATGCAAAATAACAGCGTCCAAGAAATTAAGTGAAACCTTCTCTCATCAGGATTGTTTTATTGTATCTTCTTCCTTTTATGTCGGCTTACCTCTTCACCACTTACCCATCGATATCTAAAGATAACATAAGTCAAGTGAACCGTTTGTCAAGCCCACACCAAGTGGGGTTAGGGATAAAGAATTGAAATGGTACATCTAACTCACTCATGTCTTCTCTCCCCCCTCACTTCCTCACTTCGTTAATTTACATATGCTTAATATGGCCCGTCAAAAATATGTAAATTTCTTTTCATTTTTCATTTCAACCTTTGGAAGTAAAGTCTGATGATCCAGAGCCCTTTAAAAGGGCTGTGGTGAAATAATTTATTACATGGAACCTTAAAGTGGTCTGGTTTTTATTCAAACATATTTGCTCTGAATTTACATTGAGTTCTTCGGACATCATCCTCCTTGGGTCTACCCATACAGATTACCTAGTTTTGCATAAACTAATATATATATATATATATATATATATATATATATATATATATATAGTTATTGAAAGAAGAGAAAGAGATAAAGAGTAGAAATAAAGTATAGGTGTTAAGTGATAATGGAGATAATGTGAGATTGAAAATAGTCTATATTAGTTTGAATCTACTTCTATGCCGACATTTGGAAACCAATTCATTCCTTTAATATAATATAATTTGGTTGTCAAACTGCATTATTCTAATTTTCTCTTCTAAACACAAGTTACATCTACCCTTAAAATTACTAGGAGTTTAAGCAAAACCTATGAATTTCCAGTCAATTTCAGGTCTTTCTCTCTCAGTTCCCAAAATTTTTGGGAGAGAGCAGTTTGGTGCTTTAATCTTGGGTTGGAAAAAGAGTGTCTATGGTTATAAAATGTTTATTTCCATTCACCCATGGAAATCCTAATATAAATATAATTGGTTTAAAATAAAAATTTTCTTTGGGGTAAATGGTAGCTTGATAAATAACATTAGATGCTCTGCATTTTCCCTCAACTGAACAAAGATTGCTATTTCTACAATTACAGGGGGGGTCCATACTACGCTTCTTGTTAACACCATTGAATTTGTTTAAAATGTAGATATTGTGGGAGTCAATTATTTTAAACATTAAAAATTTTACTTAAAGGATAGTTATTTTGGAAATGTTTATTTATAAGCTTCAAGAAAACTTGTCCGATATTAGCGCTGGATAACTTACTGAAGTGGGGATTGAACCATATTATATTTCTATTTCTATTTTTGTGTTTACTACTCCTCTTATCCTCACTAGTGTTATTTATGGGGTTTAAGTAAAATAGATTATTTTTAAATCCACTTTTTGGGAGAGCATTGTTGTATAATTCCTTGTTTTTATTAAAAATATTCTTATTAGATGAAAGCTTACAAATTCTGGAGCCAACTGTAATTGGCATCTGCTTCAAGATAGTATAGGGGTGGTTAGAGTCCACATTAATGTAGTTAGAAGTTTCATGTTACTTTTTATTTTTGTTTTCCTGCTTCTTTAAAGCTTACTTTTGATTTGATTTTATCTTAAAAAATTTTTTGCATTGAAAAGCCTCAGTAAGGAATTTTTTCCTGAGGTGAAATGGCCATTCATATGGGTTATTGAGTTTCATTAAATGTAAATTATCTATATAAGCTCTATAATAAATATATCAAGCTCTTTGTGGATCAGTTTTAATATTTTTATTATTAGGATTCACTTGGATTATTTACCCACGGATTTTTACCTATATATATATACATTTTTTTTTGTAGGGATTATTACAATGGTTACACACAAGAGATAAATATCACCATGACAACAGATGATCTGATTAATGTTTTGGATAATTCTGACTATAAATGTAAGTAAATTGCTTCTTTTAATCTCATAAATAAAGTTAACTTTTACTCTCTTAGAATTTAACAATTTAAACTGATTTAATGTCAGTTTAGAAAAATAAAGGTGAATTGATTCAAAGTTTAGCATAGCATTTGATCTTTAAATTTAAAGCTCTTATATTTTCCTTTAAAAACTACTACCCCATATTTATTTCAAGAATACTTCTCTCTTTTAAACAGTTTCAAGATTACATGTATACAAATTGCTTCCAGAAAACATATTTATAATAGAAGTGCATCTTGTACACAGGATTTTTTTCAAAGAGGATTGTAAAAAATAATTAAAATTTATTATTAGTTTCAAGTTTGACAGAATTTACATCATATGATCATTATAAAATTATTTGATTAGTCATGTATATATTAATTAATTTTATGTCTTTTTCAAATGACAATTTATATAACAGTAAAAAGACACCTTCATTTTCAATCATGAGAAACTAAACAGTTTATGGATATTGTGGAAATAAAAGCTTTTAAAAATTTTACTCTTTCAGATATCAAATTAGCTAGATAAGCTATCTTCGATTGGAAGACACCTGACTAAGCTGCATTAAAAAAGCAAAGTAAATCCTCTTTGTAGAAGGTTTTCTGAACATTTTCATTATTCCATAATCCAAAATTTTTAATCCTTAATATTAGAAGTTCCTCTTGTAAAATGGATATTTATTTTTCTGAATTTTCTCCAGAAACTTTGAAGAATCAATGCTCCAATTGCTTCCCTTACTATAATTGAAATTTCACCATGTTTGATAGTCAGCTGCAGGCAATAAAAACAAAATTCTGGCTAGGCAATCTCTAGATTCATATTTGTCTACTGTTTAAAAATTAATCAAATGAAGGCTCATCTATAAAACATGACCATTTACTAAAATTCACAAATTTCAATTGCCCAATGCTTTTTCTGCAGGTGGCTTTTTTTTCTGGCTACTCCATCAGTTTTCCACCTCATTGTTTAAAAACACATAAAAACAAAAAAAATGTTACCATTTCTTTACCTTCTATGAATAATTATACAATTTCAAGTTGAAATTTAAATTTTCCTTTTAATTTTCTTATTTATTTTTTAACAATCAAAGACAACAAAAGATCACTCTTTATATTATTTACATGCAGACTACTTTCCTCATCTTTATTATTCTTATTGCAACATCTTGGTCATTGTACCCACTGGCCTTCATTAGATACTTGTCAATCTGAGTAACACACAGGAATTTCAAACTTTATTTAATCCAATGTTGCTTGTTTTTGCTCTCTGTTAATATCTTATATAGTAATTATTTAATATTGCTTAGTTATTACTTGCTCCATTTCTGCTGAGTTCAGAGATTGAACTCACAATTACTATGTCAACAAATTTATAAACCAATACTTTAATCCACTAGGCTATTGACAATCCTGAGTGTAGAACTTGGATCTTTAAACCTAATCTACCTGCGGATTTTTTTGTCTTTAATTTAACTGTATTCAAAAAAATTTTTCTACTGCTACTACTGAAGTCTTGATGTCATTTATCTTTCTTTATCATATTTATTTCTGTGCTAGGCCTACTAGGGAGGTCCTGAGAGCCTTGCTAATGTGCTGATTCTTTCAAACTCTCTAGTGTTCTCTGTCTAGTATTTTCACTTCATTCAGCAGGGCTTGATGACTACCTTTTCCCCTCTATACATGATTTCACTGTCTCGCACTACAACTTTTCAATGTTCCTCGAGCCTTACTTTTAGGAGGCAGATGTTTTTGTCTTTGCCAAGTGATGGAATACCCACAGATCTCGGTCATGTTGGTCTAAATTTCTCTTTAAGGTTGATCTGCTTCTGAATATTGTTCTGATGTTGCATGGACTGCATATCTTCTGAATCTTTTCTGATGAGCCTTTGAAATACAGAAGACAGACTGTGGCAATTTTCTGGTTCTCCTCTTTGACCATTCTGTTTCTGCCTGCAGGAACTGATGTTATGTTTGCAGAATCATGTTATTTTTAAGAGTACATTCATGCTCATCATATGTTGGTTTGTGTCTGGGTCACCACATGATTTTTACTTGATGTTGTAACTGATGATCTCTTTCAGTATGGCTAGTTGGAATTGAAGTTAAGGTATTGTCCAGTGAAGTTTGGCAAGTGATACATGGATATCTTGATCATATTCTCTGTGCAAGTTATTAGTACATCCAGAAATGCTAGCTAACTTGTTATCTTCTTCCATTGTGAATTGGATCAAAGTTCTTACTGAGTTCACATGGTCCAGCACTATTTGTACAGTTTCCTGGTGAAGCCAAAGTATGAAGGTGTTATATCTCAGCCATACTGTTGGCTTTAGTGGTATTGTTCTTAAAGCCATTTCCTTGAAGTATTCTATGTATGTTTGCCATCACTGATGACAATGGCAAACCCATAGGCAAACATTCCTTGTGTTGGTGTCTCAGACTCTAGTTCATGGTTCTCAAACGGTGTGCCTGGGTGCACTGGTGCACCCTGGAAGATGTCTAGGTGCACACTGGCATTCCAGAGAAATTCCAGATATGAGAAATAAATATATTTACTTTATTATATTGCGGTACTCGTCTTGTTGCAGGAAAGCATTTGTTTTGCTGTATTGAACTGGTAGGAGTTGCTGGTCAGTCCTCCATGTCTAGTTTGAGAAAGTTGATTACTAAAAGACATATTATTTAACATAAAATGATGATGAGGATTAGGATTGTTTATTTAAAAGTTGTCTTCTTACATATTTAAATGTCTTTTTTTCATAGTAATTTATCATTTATAATTTATCACTTATTTGTTTATAAGCAAATGTGATAAATTAGTTATTTTATCATAAACACGTCAATTATTTTTATTCTATGAAGTGGGTGCACTGCAATATCATTTCTAAATTAAAATGCAAAAGATTTCAGTCTTTATAAACTATTTTTTTTCTTTTTTTCATTCAAAGAAAACATTTAAAATTTGACTCGGCTACTGAGCAGATTTCTGCAAATCAACCATTAAATATCATTGAAGCACATCTTTCAGATTTTCTAGGGAATTTCATGATAAAACTTTAGAAAGATTTAAATATTTAACACTTAATCAAACAGACTGTATAGAAAGTCATTTAATTATAAAAAGAGTTCAATTAGCCTAATTACATTTTTGTTTCATTTTTTTCAAATGCTTTTAGTTTTTGTGAGGGTCTTCTTTTGGGTAATTTATTCTCCACCCCCATCCACCCACATATATAAAAATAACATTACAGTATTATTTAAATTCAAATATGATACTTTTCCTCAGAAATTTGTACATTTCTGCCAACCAAGCATGTACCAGTGTGGCTCTAACAGGTGTTAAATGTGGAAGTGTTGTGCATACTATTTATTTTCAGATAAATACACCCATACAAAATGGATACTAAACAAAAATAAAAGAAATTGATATTGAAGAATTTTAAGTCTGAAAGAAACAAAACATAAGTGCAAGTAAGAAAGCAAAACCACAGGTTACTCACAAATACAATGAAAGTTATTTAAGCTTTGGTTTTACTTGGACCAGAAGTGAAGATAAGCCTTTGCTGCTATGTTTACTATGCGGATGTAAAATGGCAAATGAATCACTGCTTCCAAGTAAATTGAGAAAACATTTAAAAACCAAACACTCTCAAATACAAAATAAATCTACAAGTTATTTCAAGAGATTGTCCAAACAGCAAACAAAAGCTACAAATTCCTTTAAAAGTATAATGAATGTTTCCGAGAAAGCTCAAATTGCTTCTTATCAAGTCCCAGAAATGATAGCACAAAATATGAAAGTTCATACTTTAGGTGAGTCACTTATTTTGCCTGCATACAAAAAAATTGTCAGACAATGCTGGGAAATGAAGCAGTAATGAAAATAAGCAAGGTTCCTTTGTCCACCATACAGTTCACAGGGGTATTCTAGAAATGTCTCCTGATATTGAGCTGATATCAAGAAAAATGTATGCAGTATTCAAATTTTACATTGCAAATTGAGGAGTCAAGAGATATTACCAGCAAGGCACAAATATTAGCATTCATTCATTTTATTAATGAAGACCAAATAGTAAATCCATTTCTTTTTTGCAAAGAATTAAGTGTGACTACAAAAGGTGAGGACGTTTTTAACATTCTGAATAACTATCTTGATAAATAAAGTTATCATGGAAGTTGTGTGTAGGCATTTGTACAGATGGGGCTCTTTCCATGGTAGGGCATTATATCTTTTGTAAAAAAACAAAATGAGAATATTATCGTAACTCACTGCTTTCTTCATAATGGCAAAAACATTGGAAGAAAAATTAAGAGAAGCTTTAGATCAAATGGTTCAGATGGTAAATTTTATTAAAACAAGACCTGACAATTTTACTACAGTTTCCAACATCATATTTATGTGAATTAGGATTTTTCTGCTTTCAACACAAGTGCAAAAAAAGAGAGGAACTCTTCAATGTATTGATGAGAAAATGAGAGTTTTCCTATTAAATATATGCCCAAACATTGAAGAAATCACTAATACTCATCAAGCTCATGCTTCTCATAAACACAAGAATATATAAACTTAAGGTATTTTTTTTTTTTTAAGCTTTTCACCCCAAGCAAAGCGGGAAGCTACTAGGACGCAAGGGGTTTCAGAAAATTTGGAGTAAGAACAGATAGGAGTGATAGAAGAAAGGATGAGGAGAAGGGTAGTGGATAGATCAAGGCAACTGGAGATGTCGATTGACATTACATTTGAATAGCTGGAGATTATAGCTCTCAGGGAAACTAGAATAGGGAAGGGAGTTCCACAGGCGAGAGGTGCGAGACATGAAGCTATTGGAGTAGAAGAGACGGCTACATTTAGGAGTTTCGACAGTGAAGGGTGAGAGCGGGATGCCAGCCTCGTAGGGCGCTTGAACTCATGAAGTCTGGGAACCAGCAAATGCAGCTCCTCGGAGCAATTGCCATGAAAGTATTTGTAAAACAGACA